AATTATATGAATTTTAATGCTGCATCGTTTAGCTAGGCCAGATCATACGGAAATAGCATTCTCATTAAAACAGAAAGACAACACATTAGAAAACACAGACTTCAGATCCATTTTTATTTTTTTTCTAACTGCAGATTTAAGGTATACAACTGAACATTGTTATTTTCTTATGAGACTTATAAATAAAAATACAAAAAAAAAGTTCACTACAAAACAATCTACTGTTAGTAGGATGTAAAAAATATTTTCTTTCGCTATTGAAGGCACAAACTTCACTTAGTGACAACATGGAGAGGGAAACCTGCAGCATGAAATCTCTTTTATTTATTTTTTTTTCACACTCCATCAGAGAACACTGAAATGTTACAAAGAGACGTGTCTGATCTACACTGAAGGGAAAAAAAAAAACGAAACAAAAAAAATATATTAACCAAAACTGAGAAACTGATGCTGGAATTTTCAGCACTGTCGTTGCAGAGCAGCGCTTCAGAACACCACGGTATCTGTGCTGGAGGAGACAAAGGGACCCCGCAAAGCTGTAATGCAAATTAAGTTTATACAAATGACAAAGAGAAGGGAGAAAAAAAAAAACAATTGGGCACCTTCTAAGATCAAGCTAAGAGTAGGTGCTGAGGTAGACGTAACTCTAGCAATTCAAATAATGATAGAAACACTTTTCTCAAAATACCAAGCAACTTGACTGGCACTTGTGCTGTAACCACAAGAAAAAAAAATATATTTTATATATATATATATAAAATATATATATATAAAATAATATATAAATCACAGACAAGCCAAAAAAGGAGGGAAAAAAGCTTAGTCACATAGAAAGCTTCGTTATACTTGGTCCGACAGGGCAATTGGTCCTCAGTGCTAATATATTTATATACTTTAAATCAAAAGGAAAAAAAAAAGCAGAATGTCTCGGTACTTTGTGAGTTGAACAGCTTAGTCTAGACCTCGATGGCACATGCATGTCAACACTGCATGAAATGGCTACTGGTTCTAACACACCACACTGGAAACACAGTGAAGTCCAACGCAGGGATGCCATGACAGGCTTTTCCGATACTCGTGCACGATGTCGAGTATTTTTAATTTTTTTTTCCCCTCAACCTATAGGGTGCCGAGTGGGTCACCCCCCCATCCCCTCTTGGTAAGAGTGGCAAAAACGTAACGGGGGGAGGAGTTGGCCTGATTCCGAGGCTCCCGAAAGCACAGCTTTAGAATAGAACCATCACATATTTCAGGTCAGGAATGTCATCCATGTCAACACTTGGATATTTCTGTTTTTCTTGTTATGGCATCAAGCCCAACAAATACACGCGCACACACACACACACACACACACACACACACACGTTTCACCCCCCCCCCATATCACACTGACAGTAATGGTGCTTTTGGTGTTCAGGCGACGGCCAGACAATGAGGTGACTCACTCATAGCTATTACTGAGGGGCTTCCTGCTAAAGCCACTTTCTCTTCCCTCCAAAATCAGCTTCAACACATTTAACTTCAAGAGGAAAGAAAAGAAAATAAATTGTCACTAAAGTGGCCCAGAAAAAGAATGGGGGGTGGGGCGGGTAAACACTGTCCTGGGCTATCATGGCACCCTGCTCAGACTGGTGACACTATTTATTTTCATTTGAAAATACAGAAAGTAAGCAGATAGAAATGGACATTTTGTAGAACAGCTCCATTTTAGGCACAAAGATATTACAGAAACAGAGTAACATTGCGGGAAGAACTATATCAACGCCAACATTTTCTTCAACGCATTTCGAGGAAAAGAGGCCCGAGAACGGCATTTAATTTTGTATCCAATTAGTGCATTCGTCAGACAGACGTGGATCACGAGCACACATGTTCACACGCACGTGCATGCACGCACAAAAACACACGCAAACACACACGCCTACAGATACAAAAAGGTTCAGTAAGTGATGAGAGCATTCTGAACATACACCCGCTAAAAAAAAAAATATATTAAAATAAAAACAAAAAAAATGACTGACAGGTCGTTCTTTGACCTGTGGCGTACGCTTGCGATTGGCAGAAAGAGTAAACTTTCTGTCTTTCAGTTTCTCTTATTTGCATGTCATTTAATATCGTAAGAGGGAACCCCTCGATTCACAGTGTTTACAAGAAAACGGTAAGCAACCAAATGAACCCCCCCCCCACCCCAACTCTACCACCAACCCTTCTTTATTTTTCAATTATTCAAGTAAAAAATTAAATTGTAATGTTTGACAAAGTGTTAGGCGACGTGGCTGGCAGCCAGCCTCGGCGCTCCCCGATTAACTCCGAGAGAATTTCGTAACAGGCAGATTTGTGGCGGAGAGATTTAGTCCTTCACCTACAATGCATTGACATCCAGAAAGCAACACGTAATACTACATCATTTTCACACAACGTTTATGTCCAACAATACAAAAAGAGGCACAGGGCAAAACATTTAAGTCAACCCAGAAATAACAATGTAAAAAAAAAACAAAAATAATAAAACAAAAACAAAAATAGTTTATATATATATATAAATGTTTGCCCCGCTGAAAAACTTGACAAATGGAGAAAGACTGACACTTAATACAAAAATATCACAACTTTATATATCAAATGGCCTCTGTTGGCTCTTGCTCAGGAATACACTCGGATCGAAAAACTGTCGACCAATTTTTTTTTTTCATCTTTTTTTTCTTCTTTGATTACCACTTGCAGTCCAAATTGTCCAACGCACACCGCATTGCTGCATATATAACCCTTAGTGGTTCAGAATTCACGAACCTTCTTCACATTACAAAACTACAATTCTATTCACATATTTTTTCAAGTTTACTGCCTTTTTTTTGTTTAGACTCGCTTGAAAGTACTATCATTTCACTACTGCCTCCCAGGTCAACTGATAATCCATTCTTAAGGCTTCAAAATCTCTTATCCACCCTTAAGTTCAAAGGTTAGAAGGGGACAATGAAGGAAAAGACCATTAAAAAAAAAAAAAAAAAAAAAAAAACTTCCTTCCATTTCCTATCGATCACTAGTTTCTATAACCCTTTATATAAATGTCACTAACAGACAAAAAAAAAATCACTTGAAAGTTAAGCGTGAGATGAAGTCGCAGTGACACCACGATGCGAAATGCAAGTAGAACTCAATGCTTTCACAAACGAAAACAACAACTTAGAGGTAGCTTTCATAACGACAACAAAACCCCGAGCTCTTCGAACAAAAGCAGGGCTTTGCTTTATAAACAAAAACAATACCAATTTTGGTAACAATAATGCACAGAATACATGACAAAAATACACATTTTCCCCCCACCGCAGCGGCACTTAACTCCTTATTTCCCAATGATATATCACCTTTTCATACATTACACACAAGCACGCACTCACACAACAAATAAAAAAAAATACAAGCAGATGAGGTCACGAAAAACGAGGTAATTCAAGTACAATGTGCTGAAAACACACCAAGTTCAAATAAACATATACAAAGCAAAGAAAAAAATATATAAAGAGTTTTTTTTCTTTTTCTTTTCTCTCTTTCCAGGTCACGCCTCGGGGAGGCTGGGCTGGCGAAAGCCTTCACGTAGCTTGCGAGACGCATGCTAACACTGGTCGTTTTTTTTCGGCAGGCAGTGGCCGTGAGCACAGCGAGTCCTTTTGGTCTCTGTCGTATTGGCATTAAAAGAGCATCCGTATGTGCATGTGCGCGTCCGCACGCGTGTCTAAAAAGGACCACAGGCCTGAATCAGTCCACGGCACCTTCTCAAGGATCGGCTTGTGGTTTTTCCACTGTGACTTGGAGATCCTGACTGAATTATTCTTAAAAAACAATATATATGAAAGTGAGAAATAAACGTGAACACTAGCAGTCCATACTCGGTGCGAAAATACGGAAAAAAAGAGCAATAAACCAGTACAGTCCTGTTTCAGCCACCCAGCAGTTTCAAAAACTCAAAACTGAAAGGCTCTTGTCCTAATTTAATGAATGCTGTGCAAAGCGATGACGAATGATATATAATGATACATCGTCAAAGGCTTAAAAGAATAATAGCAATACATTTAGGGGCTCATCTGAACAGTGGGTGAACCACTTTCCCAGATAAGCCTGAGCGCAAATGAAAACTTGCACTCAGGTTTATGTGAAGACCTCAACTTAACCGATCGATGTTCTCGACCTATCCGGCAGCTGGTACTGCAAGCCTGTAGAGTGCACGGATTTTTCAACATGTCCAGGACACGGCGTTTCGTTTCCAAAAAGGATTACACAGGTTTCTGCGGCCCACAGCCCCACGGGACGCTTTGCTGTGTGGGCCTTGGTGCTGGGGTGAATTCTTCCCTGTCTGTGAACTTACCACTGCCAGAGGGTTAAGTGCTCGGTGTCCTTGTCAGGTACAGCTGCAGGGAATATGCTTTTTAACCAGAAGTGGGCCTTACCGGGACTCACGGAAACAGCAGCGTGGGTTTGGGCCAGCTTAGGACCGAAGGCCCAGAAACGTTTATTATTTAGTTTTTGTCTTTTTTTTTTTTTTTTTTTTTTTTAAACTAATACTATAGCTGAATACCTTTAGTTATTTTATTTTTTGAATGGTGGCATCCCAGCCTGAAGTCCAAATTTTGCCCAGCGACAGCCAGGGCAAAAGACGAAACAAAAAGAGGAAATAAACAAAAAAAAAATTGGAAGAGAGGGGGATCACACCCATACCTCCAGCGTCCGCATTCATGCAGTCGGCCTCCTGGTAGTAGTGGCCTGGGTGAGGATGGGGGACATCATCCTGGAGGGGCTGGCAGAGCCCAAGCCAACAGAGGGGCCCCTGGTGACTCTCAGGACCCCCATGGTCCAAGGTCCTTGCGTATAGCGACGACGACGACGACGATGAAACAAGAATATTTTCGGCATGGATACACTTACACATAAAATGACATCACTGGGTCACTCCCCGCTGCCTCTCCTCCCACCTCAGACTCCCCCCCCCCCCCCCCCGCCACATCTTTCCTCACCCCGCCCAACCTGTCCATCCATCCATCCATCCATCAATGGTGTGCGTCTGCCAGTCTCTCCCTCCTCTTCCGTTTCGATCCAACCCATTTCTCGAGTCATCACGTCGAGTTCTCATCCCACCGATCCCCCAAACCCCTCCGCCCCCCCCCACTTCAGACATAGCATAGGTATAGGTAGGTCTTCTCGATCCTCCAGTCTGGCGGGATGTCCTCGGGCTTGTGGCCCTTCATGTGCTTCTGCATGGCGGACAGGCTGGGGCAGTACTCCAGGCAGATGGTGCACTGGTAGGGCGAGGCGCCGTTGTGCGTGCGCAGGTGCTTGATCATGGCCGAATAGTCCCGCGAGCGCTGGTGGCACAGCTTGCACTCGAACGGCTTCTCACCTGCAAGCGACAGTGGCGGAAGCTGGGTTACAAGGGCCTGCCCTGGGGGCTTGGCTGTGGCGGACAGCACGCATATTAATGCCACCTTGACTTTACCTGTTAGAGTGTAGCTAGCCCACAGTGCATGTTCCGCTAAATTACATCAAATCACATTATTAAGCTAAAAGATACCCCTTATGATGTCACTGATACATAAACAAGACTGTGTGTGTGTGTGTGTGTGTGTGTATATATATATATATAAAAATATAAAACAATTTCATTAATATATTTTACTTACAAATGTTTTAGATAGCATGAATTAAATCATAACAGAATGTCACTGTTAACATGAGAAGTATTTTTCTTTGTGTTTATTAGAAGCATTTAATGCTGCTGTTGCTGTATGAAACCAACAGGAATCTGTTGCTGAAAGGTGAGCGGAGGAGCGGCCTGCTGGATCGATGCCTCCCGACCGCGGGTCGCGTGGCGCCTTTGTCATCTCACAGACCCTCCCACCCCTCACTTGGCAGGGCATGCTGGGCCACAGAAAAAGTTCATATTTGCCGTTCTCTGCGGCACGCACTCCCCCCCCCCCCCCCCCCCCCCCCCCCCCCCCCCCCCCCCCCCCCCCCCCCCGCAGGCGGACACACAGCACCGGGCGAGCCGTAACGACACTGTAAACAGGAAGGCTGCGCGCATCGCTGCCGCCGCCTAATGAATTGCAAATGCAACCCAAATATTGATCGAGCATCGACGGAGGCCGCTGCTGTCGAAGTCCCATCATGCTGGCCCCCTTTTGTGCGCTGTGGCCTTTGACTGTGCGCTTGTCGCCGCTCTTGTTATCTGCGTGCGCTCACCGAGGTCCCGCGGCAGCCGAAAAGGCACCCGATTATTTGACGGGCCTCCTTGATAGGCCGGCTTAACAGCTGCTTTTATTGAATGGTGGAGGGGGGGCGGGGGTGCGTGCCATCCGCGCCTTCTGCGCCTCACTGCGGGAGCCCCGCCTCCTGGGCCTCTCGTACCTAGCTAATCCCCTCAAAGACAAAAGGGATGCTGTCGCTGCTTATCCTGCGCCCTCTGCTGGTGAGAGCATGCCACTGTGCAGGCCCCAGGTCAGTCAGACCACTAACCTGGGCTGGTGGAGCTTCCATGATCAATAGTAACTGTGAGTGAACTCAGCTACCTCACACTGTAACCAGCGTAGGCAAAAGCCAACCTCACATTGTAACCAGAGTAAACCAAGGCTAACCTCACACTGTAACCAGCGCAAGCAAAGGCCAACCTCACACTGTAACCAGCGTAAGCAAAGGCTAACCTCACACTGTAACCAGTGTAAGTCTAAGCCAAACTCACATTCTAACCTTTTTAAACAGAATACAAATAAGCAAATTGTATAAGTAGAATGTAACACTCTGACCAGTGTAAACAGAGTATACTAATGAACTCTGATGAGTGTAAATTGAATATTTGTACTCCAGCATCCAGTGAAACCTGTTTTTCTAACAAACATAAACCGGTATTCCCAGGGTACCCAGTATAGTCGTCGACAGCCACTCTCTGACCTGTGTGTACACGGTAGTGGGTCTCCAGCTGGTGTTTGAGGCTGAACTTCTTGCCACAGCCGTTGCACTCGTAGGGCTTCTCGCCGGTGTGGATGCGCTTGTGCCCCTTCAGTGTGCTCTCGTCCCGGAAGCAACTCCCACAGAACTCGCACTCGAACGGGTGGTCACCTGCTGGTCGTGGAGGGGGAGCAGTGTTAGCCTGGCTGGGGGGGGGGGGGGGGGGGTTTGGTACAGGCATGGCTACGGTTCATCTGCCCACCCAACAGAGGCAGACCAAATCATTAATGATTTAACAGTTTAACAGAATTGTCCCAAGACTTACTGGCATTCCACCCGAAAAGGCCCAACCTTGGAAGGCATCCTGGCAAAGCCACTGATGTTGAATGTTATACACAATTCCATGAAAATCCTTTAATAACTTCAGACCAGCCCCTTGTTGACAGTGGGGGCGCATGACCGTGATTGGCTATAAAATGGGCTGGGAGGTGTGGAGATGAACATGCAAACATAAAACTGCTGGGGTTGGGGGGGGGGGGGAAATTGCTCACATCTCTTGGTGATGATGACCAATCACCTCCCCCCCATCTCGTATCTCAGTACCTGTCCCAGGGACAGCAACGAGGCACAGCAGCACAGGCTCTCATATTCAGCAGGTCAATAATGGGCAAAATTATGACGCGCCAAGCTTCCCGCTGGCAGCCGCCGCTAATTGCGTTCCCCGTGTGCCTTGAGCATCCACCCATACATCACGGCGCCCTCGCCACAGATGCGAGATGCCGGCACCGACACTTAATGCATTTCGCTGCGCTGCTGCCGCCGCTGGTTTAAGTCATCAGCGGTGACCTACGCGTTTCATTATCTGCCTGTCCAAACGGCGCCCGTGCCCGCGAATAAATTGCATTTCTCGTTATGTCCTGTCATGCTCAGGCTGCCGCTTCGCCCTTAAAGAGACGACGTCGATTTTCACACGCCCGCATCTGAACATGCGTGCCTGGTGCCGCTCGCATGCGAATTTGCGGGAATGGAGAGCTGTCCATCTCCCACTTAGGGGGGAGGAGGGTGAATAAATGCATCACATTTTTATTATCCCGCAAAACATAATCAAATGGGTCCTGTGGTATGCGGCTCCATCCACTTTTGTGCCTGGTCTGTCTATGGGTCATGGCCCCCTAAGTCCAGTGTGACGAGATACAGCTTCCAGGTGCAAGCCACTCCCCCCAGAGCCCGTGCAGGCAGGACGTCACGTCTGGACACGCCGAGACTCGGCAAATAGAGCGAACATCCATGATATTTCACTAACCGCAGGAAATTCATACCGTTTATTTTAGTGACGTTCCTGTGGGATTTGGGAGGGGTTATTCTCGTCTGCTGTTTATTTACGCCACTCTGCCGGTTGGCGTGGCTCCAGGGCGTTTGTTTAATGGTACGTCGCGGAATTAGCAAAAAAAAAAAAAAAAAAATTCATATTCAAATTAGCGCAGAACAATACTCAGCTCGTTCATTCAGATGCAAAGTCTGACTGTTATAAATGTAAGAGTATCCTATAATTAAATTTCGCTCTGAGATTCAAAAGAACTGGTGGGGGGCGGGGGGTGGGGGGGGCTTAATCTCGTTGGGAATACATTACGCTCTAACGTAATAAAGATACAGTATCGTAAATCAGGGCATGCTGACACCCCTTCAAACGGTACATCTCTCTCGGCCGGATAGATAAACAGCCCCCGCTGGGCGCGTTAATGCCGGCCGGGCACAGGCGAGCGCCAAGGAAACAGAGGCGCAGCGGGGGGGTGGGGGATGGAGGTGGCAGAGGGAGACCGGTTCGGAGACGCCCACCTGCCTCCCTTAGCCCCGGGGTTGGCAGGGTGTACCTGCTATACCCCCCCCCGCCCCCCGCCACATGTCGGCCCTGGTTCATTATGCGATAAGCAGCGTAAATCAGGGATCCATCACTGCCAGTGGCCCGGCGCTATCAAACACAGCTGCGAACACAAAACGGCCGCCACAGACGGCAAATGGGCTTCGGATAAAACACAAGCGGGGAACAACAGCGGAATATTAACGAAGCTCTGCGCCGCTGCCGCCGCCGGGGTGGAGGGGGGGCGGGGGGGGGGAGAGCTGGGGGCTGCGGGCAGCAGGGCTGGTCGCACCGATTATTAGCCCCTAATGTATTCCACTGTTTGCTCTGGTCGTGTGACCGTCTGTGTGTGTGTGTACATGTAACGGGGAGGGGACAAGGATTTGAGGGGGGGGGGGGGGGGGGGG